GGGGGGGGGGGGGGAATCCGGCAAGAAAATCGGGGTAGTTTTATCCTGCTCTTTTTCTAATTACTGCTGAAAAGCAGAGGAATGTATATATATATTCCTTTATATTTTTATGTAAATCAAAATTGTCGTTTGGCACATGGTCCACTCGGTTGTCTGCACAAAGTATTATGCAGATCCTCTTGACATCTTTCCAAGGGTAAAGTACAATAGCCTGTGTGATTTCCCTATCTGATCTAGTCATTATAGATGCACAGAGTCACCATTATGAAATAGTAATCTCTTAACCTTTACTCATAGTAGTTCCTGTTTCTTCATCTGCCATGGGTTGGTTTGTTTTCTACTCAAGTGATGGTAATGGTATTTTTTCAGTTCTCAAAGCTTTTTATGGGGCTCTCTAACCCTCTCACCTGCACTTTTTTGTGCAATAACATCACCATTTCTCTAACTTTGTGAGCTTATCATGATATCTCACTTCAGTCTGTTCCTTCAAGAGAGGGATTTCTTTTTCAAGAAGAGATTAATAGAGTCATCTGAATAGAGGAAGCATTAGACAACAATATGGAGGTATATAAAAGTGAGAAAATCCTGTATCCTGGATGAAAAATGGATAGTTGGTAACATGGTGCTCCTCAAGCAGCCCATTCCCAGGATGCTGGGAATTAAGTGGAGGATTCTAGATGCAGGAAACAAGCAAGATTGAAAAGAAACCACGTCACAACTGCCACATGCAGCCCCATGCAGCCACAGCTGCTGCCCCCTGCTATGTCTCATTACCAACCCTCCTCACAGCTAGAAAGCCACCTGGGACACAAAGCATTGTCATGACAGGATCACACACCTTGGGACCCAGGCTCAGAACATGGTTCTGATGGTCATTTGCTCTGCATCCATGGGTTGCTGTTCAAGGAGCACCCTTATCACAGTTACAGGCATACCTATGGATCCCTTGATCCATCAGCAATCACCAGGAGCGGAGCAAGGGCAAAAGCATCATAACAGAGCCACTCAATGTCTGATCTTCAGAAGTTCCAGGTACTTACAGATGCTCTTACAGCTAATGGAAACCACAAACCCTGTGCACCTCGAAAGACCTGGGCAATGAACAGCAGTTGCGCAGCATATCCCAGGGAAGGCTTTTGCACTGTGGAGTTTCTCCTGTATTCTGGTCTGGTAAACAGCAAGGGCTGGGTCTCTGAAGACAGTAATATGGCACACGCCTTCTCTTGCTGTTGTTTGAGGAGGCCCAGAAGATTTGACACAGAGGCCGCAGTCTGAAAATCTGTTTTCTCACTTTATACATTCGGAAGGTATGAGTTGAAAAGTATTTATTATTTGACCTGGGTAGCGTTGCAGCTGAGTGCTGCAGACACTGGTTTCATAAGCACTCCAGATGCAAACAGGATCATTAGGCACTTCTAAAATAGTATCGCCGTAATACTGTACCCACAAATACGAAGGTTAGTCCTAAAGAAAAATTCAGACTAAAGCAAACCAAGTGCATGTCAGGATATATGCTGTACTTTTAAAATAATTTGATTTGAACATGTTTACACAACATTTACACACAGATCTGGACAAGGGTAGGAGATATATTGTGATCCCTTGTAAAAAGCTGATTTCAAGTTCTGCTGCTCAAAAACTATTCATAAACCAAACAACACATACATTAGGAGTTCTATTTTATACATTTCACACTATATATCCAGGGAAAACCCTTTCCTGTTATCTGTGTAATCAAACCTCCTCTTATTTATACAAATGGGTCTCAGTTCTACAAATATTTACAATGAAACTCATACAAAGGTAAACTCATTGATACCAGCTGGTGAGACTTAAATTACCAGTGAAAAGTTTGCTTAATAGGCATTATCTGCTAAAGACAAAGCATATATAAGGTAGCTTTGTATTTTGTTCACCAATTCATAGACAGAGATACAAATGATACTTGAATGAGTATCACTCAAGTACCATCTGAGTTTATTTCTTTGTGAATAAGGAAGAGCTTGCTTTCTAGTGCAGGTTTTATAAAGTGGAGTTTGGAAAATCACACCAGGGCTGCAGGCTTCATTTACTGAGGCAACAACTGCATTTCGCGTTACATTCAGACCAAACAAGATTTTCCAGCTCCATGTCCTAGAGACATCTATTCCGAGCAAACACAAAACTTACGCCTTTTAGTTTTGAGGTTAGTGTTCTATTTCATATTTCAACACAAGAGCTCAAAATTTACTTATTTAACTGAGTACGATTTCCAGAACCTAACAAACACTGTGTGTATCTGTGTTTTTCTTGTTGCTACCATATAGCATAGTCTGGGACACAATCATGCCAGCTCACCATAAATCCAGTGGGTTTGGCTTCAGAGAGCAGTATTTTAGCAGCAAAGAAATTACTCCTCTTTATGTAAAACAGTTCCCTCTTGTGGATATTCTCTGTACAGTATCACAAAGTATTTAAAATATTCATCAAACCTGGATCTTTGTGATTAAAAACCTCCCCTTCATTCAGCAATGTTCTCAACACACAGGACAATCTTGGTTTTAGCCATTAAATATACAAGTAAGGAAGAACAAGCTATTGCATTTAAGCAGATGTAATTTACCTGCAAAATTACTGATTGTCAATAACAAATTATTTAAGTGCAATGCATAACTGTACCTGTATGGGTCAAGTATAAAGCACAGTGGGTTTTTTATCTTGTTTATATGAGAAAACCTTTTGCACATTGCAATAAAGAAAACCATGATTAACAAAGAAGGAAAATATACGCTATATAACAAAAAGAAGCAGTAACAGCAAAGCAGTCAGGATTTACAAGGATCCATGTACTAAGTACTGAATACAGAGGAACTCTTCAGAATGATAAATCTTTCAGATAAAACTAAAGAGTCCAAGCAAGTAAGTGGTACGGCTTCACTGGTAACACAATATTGTATCACGGGTTAATTTGGCGTGACAGTTCAGAAAATCCATATGAATGGAGTAACAGTGTAAGATTTGTATGTTCTCTAGATGATTACTATATTATACATATAATATTTTTTTTCTTAAGAAATGAAATGTGAGAGAATAAACATATACTCCCCAGTTTTACCAAAAGGCATTTGGTCTAACAGTCTGAGGAAATGATAGAAAAACAGTTGCATGTTATTATCTTGAGGAAAATTATATTAAAAAATGCTAAAAGCCTTTATATACCCATATATCATAAACTTGTTTGCCACAACTTGTTTGTTTAATGATTATATATAAAACTTTCCCATTTCATTAAAGTTACAGGCTAAATGTTGAACAAGCAGCAATGATGACTTCAGGAACAATATTAATTGAGCCGTATTATATCTCTGAGGTCTGTAAATGCATTTAATAAATAATTACCTTCTCTAAAGGTAAATACTTTTCCAAGGTTAAAAAGTCAAAGTTCCAACAATCAGGTATGTATTTATTCTCTGCAACACCAGACTTCAGGTTGCTATGCAAACAATCCCATATAGGATGTGCTGGTTTTACCTTGTGTGATAGTTCCAATAGCATAAATAATTCCTATTTGTGACCAACAGCTTCCTCCTTTACATTTTTGTTGTCTCTGTGGAACATGCTGTTGGCTTTTATGTAATGTCAGTAGTTGTGGCAGAGCAAGAACTTACACACAGAAGTACAATACAATAATAATAAAAACTGTTTACCAGTCAAGGGGCTAGATCTCTACTCCTGAGGTCAGTGGGGTATTTGGTCTTGACTTGATGGAGACACAGTATCAACCAGACATATAATTACAGATGTCTTGCATAATTAACTCTCAGCCTCACTTTAATACTGTTCGTTACTCTTCCTTTGTCCTGGAAGAAGGATGAAAAATAATACATTCTTATTCTGGAAATAAAATCATGTCATGAAATAATTCTGAGAAATTTTTGTTGTAATGCAAAAATGTTTGCTCTCTGAGACACTGAGGAAGATCCCATGCTGATGTAAAACACACATAAGCATGGATCTGCTGTCCTTGTCTTAAAGACTCTGAAGAGGAAATATTTGCAGGAGGTGCATAATATGCATATAAGAGTAATGTGGCTGCATATAACTAATCATTTGTCATATGCAAATGTTAGTGTTTGTTCTTTTCATAGAATTTAGTCAAACTATTTCAGTGCATATTAATTGAAAATCCCGTTTAGTTTATTTTACATCTACACAATCCCTGTTCAAAGACTGAAGTACATATTTAGCATGATAATATATTGCACTCTATAACACCTTCTTATCAAATCACTTTGCAAATACATTCAACTTCATTACATCTCTCTGTAACATATATGTGAGCACTATTCTTGGCAGCGAGGTTACGTAACAATTTTCTTGAATTAGTTAAAACTTTCGTATTGAAATATATTTTGGCACTTAACCCTGGCAAAATCCTCCAGCTGGCAGGACAAAGACATGCCTCAGCAGAATGCTTTAATGGGTCACCCAGTCATTCAGAGTGATCATCTGCAGAGTACTGGAACCCTTGCACTCAATCCAGCCAAATAAAATATTAAAGAAAATCCCTTGTTCATGTTAATCCATATGGTATGAATAGAAATTTAATACAAATTGCAAATAGAGGGGTTTTTTTGGACTTTTTTATAAGGCAATTCTTGGATATCTTTGTATTTTGTTTAATAGTTAGACCTAAGAGTACTTCCTTGTCCTCATTTTCCTCTCACAAAATAGCCTGCATCACACAGTACTTGGTTAGATGTGATATTTCTTGCCAGTAGGACCACTTCTTATTGGTAAATGAGTATGATTTATGCATTAAAGGAATGTTAAGAAGATATGGCTAGCATCTGAAAAAAGATGACAGCAGAAATTATGACTTCAGGTACAATATTAATTGAGCAATATTATATCCTCTGAGGTCTGTAAATGCATTTAATAAATATCAATTCACACCTTTAAA